TATAAATATTTATATTTATACAGAACATTCATTTTAAATAAAATGCTACAGAGCAATATATAAAATTTTCGTACATTATATGTACACTGTTTCATGTCCAAAACGCCATGATAATTCCATACCATGATACTTTTTTGGTATTTTGTTATGTGAAGCATGTAGAAAACACCATGGTAATAGGCTACCATGATACTTTCTGGTACTTTGTTGTGTGAAACGTATAATGTGAAGTGTGAAGAATGTGGGGGGTGAGTATATCTTTGGAAACACTGTATTAAAAATAAATAAATAAAAATAAAAAGGTCGTGGTTACGATCTAGGGCGCCCCCTGCTGCCCACCCACCCACCTTGCAGGCTTTGCCCTACTTCTAGCTTCACGAAATGTGTCTCATTTGAGCATTCGAAATATTTGTGACGGCATGTAAGCACTGGAATTCTCAAATTCAAATTCAAACAGCTGTATTGTTTATCCTGTAAGAACAGAACATTGTTTTTAAGAAAACGACATACATGAAGTTAAAAATACAGTATATCATTAAAATATATTGGTAATAATTAGTGCTGCCAAACGATTAATCGCGATTAATCGCATCCAAAATAAAAGTTTTTGTTCACATAATATATGTGTGTGTACTGTGTATATTTATTATGTATATATAAATACACACACATGCATCTATTTATACATACATAATATACACAGAACACACACATATATTGAGTAAACAAAAACTTTTATTTTGGATGCGATTAATCGCTTGACAGCACTAGAATAATATGTATTCACGATATATTCAGTTAAATGTATTTTGCAGATATTTTAGTGCATCTATTTTTTATATCATTTATTTCTCCTCATATATTTTTCAATAATAGAAATTAGTTGCTTTTCCCCCCACTGTTTTGATGCTAGACACACATTTTTTTTTCCCATGAAGTACATATAAAATGTCAAGGTATAAAAAAAACTACAATGTTTCCAAAATATTATCTAAAATATTATTTCCACAAATTCCTTATGTAGGCTTTAGCCAGAGTAGGTTAATTAAAAATAATAATAAAGCTGTCATGATTTGAACAAGCGTGGAGATCAACGTCTACATTCCCTCCTGGTTCCTCGACTCCAAAATAGTTTCCCTATGAAAACAAAACACAAATCACCATATTAAAAAGTCTACAATAACACCGATCATTACACAGCATAAGCACCGAATGAACACACAGGAAGTCACAAACCTGAAAGCTTTAGCTTGTTTCTGGAACATTCTCAGCTTTTCAATCTCTTCTGATAGTTTCCTAAGATCGTCCGCTGACAGGAGTTTTCTGATAAGAGCTGGATTTGTGTTTTCAGGAGCCTGATGGAATCGTGCGCCTGTTTTATGGGCCAGACTCTTCAGAAACTCACTGCATGCTCTGTTTAAAAATGGTTGAAATGATAAATAGATTTTAAAATCACTCTATTGCACATACTGTAACATACTTTCAGGTGTTTTTGATATAAGACACAAAGTAAGCGTTGTTGTCCTATCCTAACAAACCATACATCAATGGAAAGATTATTTATTCAGCTTTCAGATGATGTATAAATCCCAATTTAAAAAAATTGACACTTAAGACTGGTTTTGTGGTCCAAGGTCACATATTTACATATATTGTTCAAAAGTTTGGGATGAGCCATACTCTTTTTTTAAAGAAAATATTTTATTTTTTAAAGAAATTAATACTTTTATTTAGCAAGGATAAATTAAATTGATCAAAAGTGACAGTGCAACATTTATAATGTTCCAAAAAAAATTTGCATTCCAAATAACTGCTGTTCTTTTGAACATTCAATTGATCAAAGAATCCTGAAAAAAGTATCACGGTTTCCACAAAAATATTACACAGCATACCTGTTTTCAACATTGACAATAAATAGCAATATTAGAATAATTTCTGAAGTATCATGTGACACTGAAGCCTGGAGTAATGTCTGCTGAAAATTCAGCTTTGCCACCACAGGAATAAATTATATTTAAAAAATATTTGTAATAATATTTTACAATATTAGTGTTTTTACTGTATTTTTGATCAAATAAATGCAACATTGGTGAGTATAAGAGACTTCAAACGCATTTAAAAAAAAAAAATCTTTATTTTATTAAAACATAAATGAAAAAATAAATAAATAAAATAAAATCACACACACACACACACAGTCTGGTTGACTATCCTTGTAGGGACTCTCCATAGGCATAATGGTTTTTATACTGTACAAACTGTATTTTCTATTGCCCTACACCTAAACCTACCCCTCACAGGAAACTTTCTGCATTTTTACTTTCTCAAAAAAACAAATTCTGTATGATTTATAAGCTTTTGTACCCATGGGGACCTCAATTTAGGTCCACACCGTGACACGAGTCCCCATGAGTCTGTGTGTATTCAGGTTTAAGTCCCCACCAGGATATATAAACCTGTACACACACACACACACACACACACACACACACCCTTATAGAACATTTAAAATTACTTTTTTATGACAACTAACAGAAATAAATGCCTCTGTAGGACAGCAAGCATATTTCAGAATTGTACAGCTTCATGTGCAATTTGCATAAACTTTCCAGTATCAAAACAAGAATCATGACAAAACAACAAATCTAATAGTTTTCTAAGTTAACCTTGATATAGGACCTTTAAGGTTGCATTGCAAATCATGATTTCATTTGAATCATTTGAAACCGTTATCAAACATGAACATGAATCTTGCACACATTCTTTAGGAACAGAAGATATGGTTATTATGGTTATACAGTATATTGTGCCATAAAGTGCCTTGGAACCTTAATGGTATACAAAAGAAAGTGTGACCCAGAATGGAAACTATAGTCTACTAATTTCTCAAATACTGATATATCAATAATAAAATAATCTGTTTAAGTGCCCCAGTAGCCATCGAATATAACACTTGGATGATAAAAATAAAATTGAACTTTAATCGATATTAGCAAATAGCCAGAATCTCATTACATTTGCATGTCCCAGCTTTCTCTGCGCCTGCAGCCTGTATTTATTTCATTATTGAAAAAATAATAAATCAGAAGCAAACGGAGTTTTTTTTTTTTACCTGTCAGTCACTGATCATACGTGTGCTGTGTGCATCGCGTCATCCCGCCGGTGTCTCTGATGATGTTCAGGTGTCTGTCGATCACCTGCGCCTCACCTGAGTGCGTTACCGTAAAACACCGAGCTCACAGCCAATCAGCACTAGCCAATCGTTCACTCCATAGCTTTTCTCAATCTAACAATATTCAGAAGAAGAAGGAGCACAGATACGTACATACACGCCTACCTAATAGCCTAATAGTAATACAAAAAGTAAGATAAAAACCGACGTCTATGGACAAGTGAATTAAGACAGAAAAATACGTAAGAAGGCTAAATGTACTAAAATAACTAACATTAAAATAGTCTATATAGCTAGTATCAAAAGTACAGGTACATTATACATAGAAAAAAACATGGATGAATGTCCAATATATGAAGCATTACGTTTATGCTATATCAGAAACAAAAACAGAGTTTTGGCATGAAACTCTAGATGGCGCAGTCCGATAGGTCTAACTCAATCTGACCTAATAGGAATAGCCTGCGGCACAGCTGATTGTATCGATGGCAGTCTAGTTTACTCACTCATGTCCTCATGTCCTTACAAATTCTCCTTCTGCAGGAGGAAAATTAATTTTGGGTGTAATCCTGGTAACGTTAATGTTGTTCATTGTTAGATTTTTTGTTTTCGTAACAAGGCTAACTGTGTTTTGTTTTTATTTTATATTTCTTAATACATTATCATTTTTACATCAAGGTAAACAAATGCTTTAAAAGTATTGTTCAGTCTTATATATTGTGTTACCGATACACTGAATAAAAAGCAATCATACAGTAGACAGACCATACAATATGATGCATTTTACAAACTAATACACTAAATAACTTTTAATCACTGAATAGCAAAAACTAGCCTAAGTTCTCTTTTTCAGGCTCATTGACGTCTTCATTGGAGATTGAAATGAGCTCATTAATCATTATATTTCTGTATAAATATTTATATTTATACAGAACATTCATTTTAAATAAAATGCTACAGAGCAATATATAAAATTTTCGTACATTATATGTACACTGTTTCATGTCCAAAACGCCATGATAATTCCATACCATGATACTTTTTTGGTATTTTGTTATGTGAAGCATGTAGAAAACACCATGGTAATAGGCTACCATGATACTTTCTGGTACTTTGTTGTGTGAAACGTATAATGTGAAGTGTGAAGAATGTGGGGGGTGAGTATATCTTTGGAAACACTGTATTAAAAATAAATAAATAAAAATAAAAAGGTCGTGGTTACGATCTAGGGCGCCCCCTGCTGCCCACCCACCCACCTTGCAGGCTTTGCCCTACTTCTAGCTTCACGAAATGTGTCTCATTTGAGCATTCGAAATATTTGTGACGGCATGTAAGCACTGGAATTCTCAAATTCAAATTCAAACAGCTGTATTGTTTATCCTGTAAGAACAGAACATTGTTTTTAAGAAAACGACATACATGAAGTTAAAAATACAGTATATCATTAAAATATATTGGTAATAATTAGTGCTGCCAAACGATTAATCGCTTGACAGCACTAGAATAATATGTATTCACGATATATTCAGTTAAATGTATTTTGCAGATATTTTAGTGCATCTATTTTTTATATCATTTATTTCTCCTCATATATTTTTCAATAATAGAAATTAGTTGCTTTTCCCCCCACTGTTTTGATGCTAGACACACATTTTTTTTTCCCATGAAGTACATATAAAATGTCAAGGTATAAAAAAAACTACAATGTTTCCAAAATATTATCTAAAATATTATTTCCACAAATTCCTTATGTAGGCTTTAGCCAGAGTAGGTTAATTAAAAATAATAATAAAGCTGTCATGATTTGAACAAGCGTGGAGATCAACGTCTACATTCCCTCCTGGTTCCTCGACTCCAAAATAGTTTCCCTATGAAAACAAAACACAAATCACCATATTAAAAAGTCTACAATAACACCGATCATTACACAGCATAAGCACCGAATGAACACACAGGAAGTCACAAACCTGAAAGCTTTAGCTTGTTTCTGGAACATTCTCAGCTTTTCAATCTCTTCTGATAGTTTCCTAAGATCGTCCGCTGACAGGAGTTTTCTGATAAGAGCTGGATTTGTGTTTTCAGGAGCCTGATGGAATCGTGCGCCTGTTTTATGGGCCAGACTCTTCAGAAACTCACTGCATGCTCTGTTTAAAAATGGTTGAAATGATAAATAGATTTTAAAATCACTCTATTGCACATACTGTAACATACTTTCAGGTGTTTTTGATATAAGACACAAAGTAAGCGTTGTTCATATAACATTTGTTTAGTTGTCTGTAGTGTATACAACAGAAAGCTGCATAAAATCTGTGTTCTGAACCCATCTAAAAGTGTGATGATTTTTTTTTTTTTTTTTGAAATGCAGTCTGAACAGATTATATTAAGGTAACATTATGAGCTGGCTGATAGATGAGGACTTGTTGAAATTGCTGGAATGTTTTGAATATAAATATATTTATTCATTAAACATATAAAATATGTTGCTAAAACCACATTTTCCGGGATTGGGACCAGACAATAAAATCGCCAGAATAAATATGCATACAAATCTTGACCAAGGATCAATACAAATGGCCACATTCATATGCAATGCAGCATCAGAGTTGACCTGTCATATAAAAAAATACATATTTTCAGTATCATGCCAGACTGCACTGTGCTTACATTAATCAGGACACTAGGGAATATGGCGCAGTATTTCGCAGACACTCTCTTATGGACGGACAGCACCAGTTTGTTGTGATGGCAGCATTCCAGATCTGATGGTCCAGATATCAGCTTGTGAAGGTCCAACTTCAGATTCTTGGTACCAAACCTTTTTAGCCACTTAAAGAATATAAAAACATAAACACTGACTTAAAACAACCCTTTGCTCTATTGTGGACTCCCGTGTGTAATGGTCACAGGATAGAAGGATCCTATGGGCTAAGGTTATCAGCTAGAACAAAAAAAGAGCGATTTTGATCAAAAAAAAACAATGGTACTGGAAATTTTTAGCCACTTAAAGAATATAAAAACATAAACACTGACTTAAAACAACCCTTTGCTCTATTGTGGACTCCCGTGTGTAATGGTCACAGGATAGGAGGATCCTATGGGCTAAGGTTATCAGCTAGAACAAAAAAAGAGCGATTTTGATCAAAAAAAACAATGGTACTGGAAATGCAGTATAGTACCTGTTTAGCTGAACAGATGTCTTCATGTTTTGGTAGTTTAATAGTGGTGATAGACGTACACACACTCTTTGGTTTTGGATATTTATTGAAGACAACACCTAGTTAGGACAATCAACACTATATGACACAATATGAGCCAGGAATCAATATGTGTGGATCTCATGTGTTCATATATCTGGCTATGGCAAGACAAACATGGCAAATCTATTCCCACTAACCCAAGTTGCCGTCTTCCATGAAGAAGACAGACCGTGGCACGTTGGTTTTCCTCTGATCTGCAGACCTTGACAGCCTTGTCGGTGTGCCGATATCAGCTGATTGGACTATAAAAAAGACTAATTAAATGTTCAGAAGAAAAAAAAAATAGGAGTGCATCATGAGTCACATAAATAGTCCGCCATTTAGTCTAAGAGGCAATCAGACTGAGACAAATATAGACACTGACATGCTTTCAGAATCTGACGTGGACAGAATGAGTTACTTGGAGCAATATAAAACAAAAGTAAATATATTTACATATATTTAGAGTATAAATGATGGCAAATAGAGAGCATTTGGTATATGATCTCTAATAATTACAGTCAGGATGTTGATAAGACATCACACTTGGTGGGATATCTGCTTTAGAGCTGTTCGGCCTCCAAGCCCAGCCGTTCTGTGCCAATCTGCTCTTCTGCCTGCTTTCCTGTTCACATCGGACATCATGATGAAAAAGCATTCATTATGAAAACATTTTTCCCAAAAAATATTTAAAGGGATAGCTCACCTAAAAACAGTGTTGCCAAGTTTGTGGTTTTCCCGAGGAATTGTGCTACTTTAACACTGTTGCCACAGGTTGTTTTTCATGTCCGCGGGTTAAAGCGACTCCAATAACATGATATTTATCCCCTAGAAATGCGAATTTTAGCATTTAGAATTTTAAAAACGTGTATTTTACCCCCCGGAACACGATTTTTATCTGGGGACCCCCTCGAAACGCGATTGGGCTAGTTTTGGGCTAGTTTTGAGTAGCAACTGGGCGGGTTTTCTTGTGAAAACCTGGTAACCCTGCCTAAAAATGTCATTCCAGACCTGTACAGCCAGTGTTGGGGAAAGTGACTTTTAAAAGTAATGCATTACAGTATTGCGTTACTCCATAAAAAGTAACTAATTGCATTACTTAGTTACTTTTTATGGAAAGTAATACATCATGTTACTGAGCTGGGCTTGCTTATTTGTTTTTAATAACAAAAATCCCAAATGTTGTATTTTTGGCAACTGTAAAGGCACTTTCACACCAAAAGTGAAATTAATAAACCTCAGGATGAAGGAAATGCCTCTGCCTCTGCCTCTGCACTTACTCCTGATTTCTCAGACAGGGGACAGGAGAGCTGAGCCAGTCAATAAATAGGAAAATAAAGTAACTGGCATTACTTATTTAAAAAAAAGAACTCAGATACTTCACTGTAAATTTAAAAGTAATGCACTACTTTATTAGTTACTTGAAAAAAGTAATCTGATTACGTAACTTGCGCTACTTGTAATGCGTTACCCCCAACACTGTTTATAACTCAGTGTTTTTTGGCCAATACAGTGAAAGTCAATGGTCACCAAAACTGTTTGGTTATCAACATTCTTCAAAATATCTTCTTTTCTGTTCAGCAGAAGAAAGAAATACAGGTTTGGAATGGCATGAGGGTTCTTAAATGCTGACAAAATCACTTTAAGTGTCCTACTGAAAAGACCAGTTTAGACCAGCATGAATCTCGAAGATGGTTTACATAGTCTGTCATTTTTAACAACTTCATGTAAAGCTGCACTTAAACAGCACATATCAACCAAACAAACTGTTTGGTCACTTTGCATGTCAGACAGATGGTCTCTTCTTGTTTAAGTTGAACAGGACTTTTTGAAAAGTCTGAAGTCTGAATGAAGCGTGATGAGAGCACCAGCATCCCAAACACAACGCATGCTGATGACCAACAATGATAGCATCATGATAGGTCAAGCATAATATGCTTGATGGTGGGATGAAGAGAGTGATCTGACCAGTCTAGCAAGGCTGAGTGTTGTGGGTCGAGGAGATGGCAGTTTTGCTCTGCGAGTCCAGGTCTGGGGTTTAATGGATGGGGTTCTCGTTTCTCCTGAACCCCTGTCAGAGCCCTTCTAGATCAGAGAGTCCACTAATTCAGAGCACTGCAGAAAAAAAACATGGATGAATGTCCAATATATGAAGCATTACGTTTATGCTATATCAGAAACAAAAACAGAGTTCTGGCATGAAACTCTAGATGGCGCAGTCCGATAGGTCTAACTCAATCTGACCTAATAGGGCCTTTCGCACTGCTTTAGTTTAAATCATGGCGGGTGAGGGCGTTTTCGTACGCGTTTGGCCAATCAATGTCTACTTACGTCACGATTAGTACCAGTTGTGTTGGTTAGACCCTGCTCCGGAGTAGGAGCTAATTTGGTTCTCGAAAAAGGCAGCCCGGTACTAAAATCGCACCCAGTTCCGGCGGTGCGAAAACGGCAAAAAGTGGGTAGTTCCACAATTAGTTCTGGTACTATGAAAAGGTTCCCGCGGTGCGACAGGCCCTAATGACATCATTATCACATGGCACAGCTGATCTCTCCTGAAACCAGCTCATGACCAGCTAAGGACCGGATTAAACCAGTTCAAATCAGCAGCCATACTTCAAAACATACCTAACCAGCATATGCTGGATTTTTCAACAGGAAAAGTATATATATATTTTTTTTTTTAAATCTTCCTGAACCCAGAATATTTAAACAGTAGCATATCTATTAAGAAAGCAAAGAGCCTCAGTCATTCATTGATTTACTGATTTCACTGTGGCTTTAAAAGCAACTGGAGTTGATTGAATAGATGGCGGCGCAGCTTGGATGCGTAATGAAACATCTTCAGCAAATCCAGCTGGTTTTGAATGAACACAAAGTCCTGGATGAACCTTTCTAAACATCAACAACTGATCATTTCTTGCAGGTGTGCTTCCAACTTTTCCTCGGGTTCCCATTAATTATTTAGACACCGTGGACACAGGTCACGTATAGGTCATGTGAGAAAATCGCAGTGCTCTAAACTCGCCTTCTGAAAATAATTAGCGGCCGTCTCCATTTCTGCAATTAGGGCACTGATGTCATCACTCTCCACGATGCCTGCAGAGGCAGAGGCTCATATTTTCCACTGCACACACACACAAACACAAGACTTCCCATTGTAAGCTGCACTGGGTTCAGGGACCATGTGTTGTACACATGACAGAGACAAAAGCAGCACAACATCAACAGCCGCTCTGGGGACTTTTACACATGACCTCAGAGCTGTCTCAAAAGCTGAACAACAAAATAAATCTTCTTTAAACTAAAACTTCTTTTCACAGTAGTTCCTGTAATTCTGTCCTACCTTCTACTTCAAACTCCTCTTTCCTAAAAAGTCAGTGACGTATCACTCAGACACTCTCTTCTCACCAGTCTCAGTCATCCAAAGGAAGCGTCCGTTTCGGGTGGTTTCTGTCCGGGTGGTGTAACGGGGCGGAGGGCAGCGGGCAGTGTCCTCCTCTCCGGTGAACAGGCACACGTGGAGATTCAGGTTTGTTGCACTGCAGCGCTCAGATACATAAACAGTGACATAAACCTGAGAATCAGAGTATGAAAAACACTGTGACTGCTTTTTGATAGTAGCTTGCAGAAGAAAAATGTGATGATACATCTGTATTAAAATACAGAAACTGCATCTTTTATATTTGAGCAGCAGAGGGCAGCAGTGGCTGGCATGCTTGTATTTGAAGGGTTCAACATGGTTTTGTATGGAGGACTAGGAATAAATTATCAATTGAATAATTCTAACATACATTTAAAAAAAATCAGGTTTTTAATTGATTAATTAATACATATTTACAACTATTAAATTAATGTCTTTAAATGTAGTTAAATGCAATAATTAAACAATAAATGAATTAATTTTTAATTGAATAATAAGCAAATTTAATTAATTAAACTGTCCATTTATTTTTCCATTAAAAAAAAAAAAATTTTTATTGAACATTATTTTATATTTGTATTATTTATATTAACTATATTTACAAATAAATAAATAAAGAGTTTTAAATATGTGACCCTGGACCACAAAACCATTCTTAAGTAGCACAGGTATATTTGTAGCAATAGCCAACAATACATTGTATGGGTCAAAATTATCGATTTTTCTTTTATGCCAAAAATCATTAGGATATTAAGTAAAGTAAACTTTGATTAGTAATATGCATTGCTAATAACTTAATTTGGACAACTTTAAAGGCGATTTTATCAATATTTAGATTTTTTTTTTTGCACCCTCAGATTCCAGATTTTCAAATAGTTGTATCTCGGCCAAATATTGTCCTATCCTAACAAACCATAGATCAACGGAAAGCTTATTTATTCAGCGTCCAGATGATATATAAATCTCAGTTTCAAAAAATTGACCCTTATGACGAGATTTGTGGTCCAAGGTCACATATTAGTTTTTATAATGTCAATTAATTTGTCCAATAAAAATATGTATTTATTTCCATGTTTATGTTTGAATAACATTTATACCAAAACATTCAAAACAAAAACTTTAGGTCTGTCTCAAATGTCTCCAAAGTCCTCAGTCCTTTAGTATTGCATCACTTGCTCACCAATGAGTGAATGGGTGCCATCAGAATGAGAGTTCGAACAGCTGATAAAAACATCACAATAATCCACAAGTAATCCACACCACTCCAGTCCATCAATTAACATTTTGTGAAGTGAAAAGCTGTGTGTTTGTTTAAAAAAAAAACATTCATTATTAAGGCATTTTAACTTGAAACATCACTTTTGGCCATAATTCATAATAAGTGAATAATAATAAGTGAAAAAGTCCATCCCCTGTTGTCCTCTCACATCAAAATCCACTGACATACTTGTTTTTTAGATATGTTTTTGACTGTGCATATTACTCTCCTAATTCAGACGCGGCGACTTTTTCATTGGAGAAAGCAACATGGAAAACTCATCTTTTACTCGGAAGCAGTGGTTTGAAGATTAAAAACATCTTAATGATGGATTTGTTCATTACAAACACACAGCACACGACGGTAACTGGTGGACTGGAGTGGTGTGGATTACATGTGGATTATTGTGATGTTTTTATCAGCTGTTTGGACTCTCATTCTGACGGCACCCATTCACTGCAGAGGATCCACTGGTGAGCAAGTGATGGAATGCTACATTTCTCCAAATCTGTTCCAATGAAGGAGCAAATTCACCTACATCTACATCATGGATGGCCAATCATGAAAAGTCTTCCATTGGGCTGCATTCAATAGTTCTATATCTCCTAACTCCAAAGAGTGGCACCCAATAAACAAATAAAAAAATGCTCCTGTAAACTCCACAAAATAAGTGAATGCCACAAGAAATGCGATGGCCACTAGACAACAAATCCACATACTGTGCACTACGTGTGACAGGACCTTGGCTCGCAAGTGATTAAAATGAACTTAGGGACAAAAACAATTACTAGAATGAAATACACAACTGAAATAGACTAAAAATGGATTGACTAGTTAATTTTCAGAGACCTGATTGATGTGATTTCAGTTATTTTTATCGAGTTTTGATAAAACTCTGATCTGGAAGTGCAGTAGCAATAGCAAACACCACTAATGAAAGGCCTTTAAAAACAGAAAGAGGTAGAGAAAATGAGAAAGAGAACAACAGACTGTGAAGTCAAAAGCGCATCCTGTCCTCTTACTGCCAAACAGCTTGAAGGTTTTCATGGGTGGAGGGAACCACCTTCTCCTGCCATGACTTGACATCTGATCCAAAACTGTGATGAACATTGACAAGATCACATACAGTATAGTGAATGTGGCAGCAAAGGATGGTTAAAATAGACATTAAAATGAACCTCAAGTCAATGCTCTTATACAAGCTAACTGTTAATGGCTATTTATTTCCATTCTCATTTATTTTCTATTTATATACAATCAAGTCATGGAAATACTTAAAATTCCAACACAAGCATATACATTTTTAAACAAAGTTCTGTCATGACAACTCTTGGAGGGATTGACATGGTAATGTACATGACAATGTTAATGTGTTTGGTCTTGGCGGAATAGATCTGCTACGCTGCTGTTGCGGCAGAGCAAGTACCGAGACTTGCTACTGCCAATAAATCCACAACATGCTGCTGTGAGCATGTAAGAAATATTGCTGCTGCAAATATAACATACATGAAATAACCCCCATATAGCGTACATGAATCACCTCGTAGCAGATCTATACAGGTGGAGCTGGGGAAGGTGGAGGTTTTCTGAAGCAAGCTGCAACTGCTACGGCAAGCACTAGTCATATATTTGAATGTTGAGCAGCGAGCTCATTGGCTACCGATACAGGAGAGAACCAATCAGCTGTGCCATGTGATAATGATGTCATTAGGTCAGATTGAGTTAGACCTATCGGACTGCGCCATCTAGAGTTTCATGCCAGAACTCTGTATTTCAACAAGGTCAAAGAACATTAATGACACTTTTAATAGCACACGATGTGTGTATGTAAATGTGGCTCCGCCGTACAAATTGAGATTAATTAAAAAACAGGTAACCGGCTGAATCATGTGACATGATGAAATGCTCTGGAGTGAAGCCGTGCAGCTGCTCTGCAGTATTAAGAGCAGGTATGTGCGCTGCTCTCTCAGGCAAAATCTATTAAGACTTCTATTTATGCCAGACTAAAGTAGATCGCTCATGACTATGCTAAAACAGGAGCTGACAACTGCCGAAGACTGGACCATTACTGCCTTCATTTCCTCTGCAACTGTGTGTGATGGTGCAAATATGACTCTGTTATTAATAAAGGACACTGATTTGTGAAAAGCAATTTATGAATGTGATGTGTTTGTACAGGCACATGTGCTGTAGAAGCCAATTCAGTATACCCTTGCAAAATTACACTTTTACAAATAAAGGTCCCAAAAGGGGGTTTTCACAGTGATGTCATAGAACAGGGTTCCTCAAATCTTGCCCTGAAGGGCCAATGCGCTGCAGAGTTTAGCTCCAACCCTGATCAAACTCACCTACCTGTGATTTTCTAATGATCATGAAGACATTGATTAGCATGCTCAGGTGTGTTTGATTAGGGTTAGAGCTAAACTCTGCAGGAAAGTGGATCTCGTGGGCGAGATTTGAGGATCCCTGTCATAGAAGAACCATTCTTGGTTCCCCAAAGAACCTTTCAGTGAACAGTTCGAAAAAGAACCAGGTTTTCTTAGTGTGAAGAATTTATTAATCTGAAGAACCACTATTGTGAAAATAAAGAGCTATTATTGTTAAGAGTGGTGGTAATACCATAGTACTTTGCAAAAATGGACTAGGACTTCAACACAGCCTGACACTTGTACCTACTGAATAAAAACATAACGCCTGCTGTATTATCTAGTTCTCATATATACATAGGCCTATACATTTTTCGAAACTGTTGACTATGTTGCCAGGATCTAGCACCGCAGCTTACATGTTAATAGGCCAGTCAGATGATGTCAGAATTTTTTCTCCTAATAAAATCTTTGTTTATTTACTTGGTATCTAAATGTAGGATCGACAGCTGGACCATAAGTTGACTAGTCCACTGAGAAAAGTCCCGGTCATTCCTGCTTGTACATGCACATGAATCTGAACTGAAAAGTTTAGAATTTGCATTTATATGAGCTGTTTTGCACTAAATTTAAAATAACACGAACATATTGTGCCAATTTAATGTGTAGATGCAAATGTTAGTTTTTGTAGTGTTCCTTTTTCTGCAGACCAGACTGGACTCCCAATGAAAAGACGACAGATACACTACCGTTCAGATGTCTGGACACACCTACTAATTCTTTAGTTTTGATGTTGTTCATATGTTGGGATTAATACCACCATGAAAACGTTATGAAAAAACAAATGGATGTATGGGAATGAAATGTTAAATCAAAGCAATCGCTACCATTTGCGTAGATTAAAGTTTTCCTTTTGTGAAATATGCATTACTTTTATGATGTCTGTATGAATCTTTTGAAGCTTGAACGTTTTGGTGGAATGGATTTTCAATGGAGGAACAGAAATCTCTCAGATATCTTAATTTGTGTTTTGAAGATGAATGGAAGTCTTCGGGTTTGGAACGACATTAGTAAATGACAACAGAATATTCACTTTTGGGTGACCCAATCTTATAGAAAACTGTACGTTTTAGTTTTCGAAAACTGTAAATTACAAATCACATTTTATATTTATATAGAAAATCGCACAACTTAAAGTAATTAAGCATAAACCATTAGACTGAAAGCTTTTTAGGCAAGTGTGTCCAAACTTTTGGCTGGTGTAGGCTATATAGAGGAAAATCTCAAGATATAAATAACTTCAAGAGCGAAAGAGACGGGAGACTTTAGGACTAAATGACATAGCAGATCATAATCCGTCACACTATAAATGAGTGAAAACACCCCGACGGTGTGTTTGACCTACACGATGATATTGAAGCTGTGTTTGTTGGCCAGCTGCTCCTGCAGTAGTATTCGCAGGGCGTGCTGGAGATGGAGCTGGTAGTGGGCGTTCATCCCAGACATGTCCAGAAGAACCTGCACCCTGCATGGAGAAAAAGAGAAAGAGCAACTGAGGCACACAAACACACTCCATATCCCTGCATCCTCCTGGCCCAGCAAAAACATCAGCGTTATTGGATTTCCACCAAAGTTATAGGCTGGAAAACAAAGATCAATATGCACTAATACTTAAATTTGTCTTACAAGAATAAACATGGTTTGTGCTGACCACAATGCATTTTGTGTGGTGTGTTTTTCAATTACTGGCTGCTGAGTGCACTTAAAAAAAAACATTCAAACTATCGAGACAGCAATGCACACTTCTGTTGTTGTTGTTTTGTATATTGTAGGGCTTATGCAGTTCATGGGATTATTAAAGGGGTCATAAACTGATTCCCCTGATCTTTTAACACACTGTAAAAGAGGGTGATTGTGCTATAAAAACATCCTGTAAGTTTCAGAACTCAAGACTTTCTCATTAGTCTAAAAACAAGCCAAAAAGACAGCTTTAGGAATGTTCTACTTTATGACATAATAGTGTGGCTAAACACCGTCTCTGCAGAAGAAGATCAATGCCTGCTTCTACATCACTGTCTGTTTAGCCCCGCCCACCGATTTGTGCACGTAGTAGCCTAGGTAAATGACAAGAGCGGCAAACGCAGGTCTATACAGAAACCAAACGATAAAGATGCTCCGAAGACAGCAAGACAGTGTAGCGTTGTAGTTGTGGAAAAACAGTGTTTGCATTGCCTTCCTTCTACAACAAGTGGAGTTCCAGTTCATAGGAACCAAATACAGTATTCACTGCTGCCTAAGTGTCTGTTGACAAAATTGCTATGCTAAAGTGTAATTCCAATTTTATGCTAAAGTGTGCTTCTTTTTCACAAGGGATAATGTATCCCTTCTCTGTGCCATCTACTGTGCCCTTCAGAACATACATACTCCTTACTATTGTGAAGTCCACTTTGCAGGGTGCTGTTGAAATAATAGAAACATATCTTTACTGTCTAAAGGTTCTCACCTCTGCTCACACACGGTTCCCCATATCCTGTTCAGCCACTGAACTCTCCTTTCAAACAGATGCACAGCACCCATGAAAGACAAAATAAAGTGAAAAATAGAGAATGTCACAGATTTTAGACTGATGGAGAAAAACATGCAAACTCCATTAAAGTGCAACTTTGTATTGAACAGCACACATGGAAGTTGTGACAGCTTTCAGTTAGGTAAATAATACAACATTCATTAATGTTGAGTGTTTAGATTTAAAGACATGCATTTGGAGGAATTTTTGAGAGCAGTCTAGTGGCTAATGCAGTCTTCAAGTAGTGATGGAAGGCATGAATGACCAAGTGGAAATGAGTTTCCTTTACAGTGCTGACATTGGAAGGAACGTGTCCGCATCAAATACGGTGGAAAGCAACTCTCTAATAGAATGAAATTAATAACTGAGAAATCTTCAGTGCTGTATATCAGTATAAAGGCCCACATATGACATGCTGAGCGAAAAAAAAAAATATATATATATATAGATATTATCGACACAAGTTAAGAAATCACTCCCTGACTTGTGGCCACGTACTAATTTGTTCCATCATTTTAGCTAAAATGTGGCCAAGTTATACTAATTTGCTCCCTCATTTCAATTTAGTTAAATTGTAGCCACAATTGAGCTAAAACAGGGTAACGGATTAGTTCAATGTGGCCACAATTTACCTAAATGAGGGAACAAATGAGGATAATATTTTTTTTCCTGCATGTCAGGCTCGATATTTTAGTAATAGGTGTTGCACACGAAAAGTATCAGCTAATGATTCACAGTTTGCTCAGAAGTAGGTGTTAACCTGGTGCTCTTGAAGGTGGAGGTTAGCAAAACGGCTAACATTATTTACAATTCTTGTACGATTGCAGCTGGTTTCACATGGTTTCTAGTTGGTCTTAGAATGGTATATGGAATTTTTGGTTTATAAAATGTACCTGGTACTTTTGCACCGATGGAAGATCGACATGCAAATACTTCACTGTCCCATCATGCCACTCAAACCGTACCATGACCCGCTGCAGACAAACAAAAAAGTGAATTAGTTCAGTAAGTCTGCTGTACAGGTGAACAGATGGGCCTCAAACTGGATTCGTAAATGCAGCAGTACATGTTCATCACCTCATGAACTGTAGAGGAAACAGTCTTTCCCAAGACTGGCACAAACGTCTCTTGTGGAGAATAGGCGTTACGAGCCAGCAGCTGATACAGATCCAGCTTTTGAGCTGCATGAACACAACTGTTAGCCAAGACTAACCACTCGGATCAAGGAGACTTGCCCAGCATATACACTGGCAAATAAACTGACACATGCATATATGTTTGTAAGATTTACAGATTGCGCTTTTTGGTCATATTCTAGAAAATTTAGACCATCTTAAAATGTATTTGATATTTAAAGTCAATATTAAATAGCAACTGTTCATATTTCTTTTCTTAAATTCCCAAGGATAAAAAAAGTCTTGCCACATTTAGTTGAATTCTGGTTCATTCAGAAATGTGCCATATGTGTCATGCGTTTGTAACATTACAGAGGTGAATTGGGTTGTAAATACTGTTTCATGCTGAAACTGAAAAGTGAACCCAACAGACATTCTTCTATCAGAGTTTGAAAAGGCACCGCATGGCAGATATCCTTCAGGCCGTGGGTTTTCAGCCATTCACTGGAGGTGGTGGGTATCGGGCCTGTGGGTTGGATGCACAATGGAGTACTGAGAGCAGAACTTCCAGGACTGAAGTCAGAAAGAGTCAGATTGTCCAAACCTATGGAGATCTGTGAAGGTACAAATGAGAACTGAAAGGGAAAAGTTTCCAGCTCTCATAACTGTATCTCAGGGGAAACTGGTAGAAAACACATAATTTCACAACAATAAAGTGCCGTGGCACTACCATGTTTTTATAGACATGAACCCAAGCAATACCATGTATACTGTTAGTAAAGTGCATGAACACAGCATTAACATTCACTCTTGGAAAAGGAAGCACATTTTAATATACTATTAAAAATATAGTAACAATAGACTTGAAGAGGAAATGATTTCAAGATAAATAATATAATTTAAAAGCATATACTTAAAGGTCCCCTGAAATGCTTAGAAACACGCAGCGTTACTCTATGTGTTGACGTCATTTTAACTGAAACAGGAAGACAGGGCAGGACATATCAAGCAGCCCCGCCCCTTTTTCTCATCCATATTGCTATACAATATAGCATTCTGTGTAGAATTCAAATAGCTCCGATACATTTTGTGGTCTGTGCCGACTCGCGCATGTGATCCGCTCCGTGCTATCGTGTCTCTGGACCAGAGCAGAGTGTGTGTGCGGTGCGGTGGTTACCGTGACACAGTGCGAAACCAGACTTATTTTTTTCCTCAATGGAAAGCATATTTACACTGTTTGAATCGTTCCCTGTCCCCTATATAGTGCACTACGTGCCATTCACTGTACAGAAAATACTAATTCTGTGGACAAGTGACCGATTTCAGCCGCGGCTTCAGCGTCTATTTTATAGTGTAGGGG